CTGCTGGTGGAATTTGCCCGCGCTGGTGCGTGAGCTGGGGGTGGAGATGGGGGCTGGGGGTGGGGCTGGGGCCTGGGGGTCCAGTCCCTCTGCGACACCCCCACTCTCCCCCACGTCTCCTGCAGGCCTCACAGAGCCTGTTCTCATCCGGCTTGACGTGGACACCAAGCTCAACGAGCAACTGAAGGTGAGGCTGCACCTGTCCTGTCCCAGGAGGGTGTGTCCAGGTGGGCCCTGCAGGCTCTGGGCCAGGATCCCGAAAGCCAACTCGTGATGCCCTCTCCCCACAGACCTCCTTCTTCCTCGTGCGGGAGGACACCAAGGCTGCCGTGCTGCTCCACCTGCTGCGCAACGTGGTGCGACCCCAGGACCAGACCGTGGTGTTTGTGGCCACGAAGCACCATGCCGAGTACCTCACTGAGGTGAGCCCAGTCCTGAGTGGGACCGTCACCTCCTTCAGCTGGAGTTTGGAGCTGCAGTTCCCTGTGCGGTCACTAGAGGGCAGCATGAGAGTGGACCAGGAACCTGGGCCTGGGCTCAAGATGGTCATTTTTATTTTTATTTTTATTTTTATTTTTATTTTTATTTTTTGAGACGGAACCTCGCTCTGCCATCCAGGCTGGAGTGCAGTGGCATAATCGCGGCTCACTGCAGCCTTGACCTTCCAGGCTCAAACAGTCCTCCCACCTCAGCCTTCTGAGTACTTGGGACTTCTGGTGCTTGTCACCATGCCCAGCTAATTTGTTACTTATTTTTGTATGTTGTAAAGACAGGTTCTCACTCAGTTGCCCAAGCTGGTCTTGAACTTCTGGGCTCAGGTGATCCTCCCACCTTGGCCTCCCACAGTACTGGGATTATAGGTGTGAGCCATTGTGCCCAGCCCAAACTTTTTACTATGAAAACATTTCTTTTTTTTTTTTTTTCCTTTGGAAATGGCATCTCACTCTGTCGCCCAGAGTGGGGTGCAGTGGCACAATCTCAGCTCACTGCAACCTCCACCTCCCAGGTTTGAGTGATTCTCCTGCCTCATCCTCCTGAGTAGCTGAGACTTCAGGCACCACCATGCCTGTCTAATTTTTGCATTTTTCTTAGAGATGGGGTTTTGCTGTGTTGGCGAGGCGGGTCTTGAACTCCTGACCTCAAGTGATCTGCCCATCTCAGCCTCTCGAAGTGCTGGGATTACAGGTGTAAGCCACAGCGCCTGGCCTAAACTTTTTATTGTGAGAAAATTTCAAAGACATACTAAGATCAGAAAATAATATGATGAACTCCTAGGTACTCGTTATCTAGGTACAACCGTTATCAGCTCATAGCTGGTCTTGACCTTTATCTGTTATTTCCCCTTATCATCCGGGTTATTTTGAAACCTGTCCCTGCCATCCTGTCATTTTCCTGTAGATTTTTAGTGTTTGGTTTGTTTGGCTTCTTAAGATTGAGGCATGACCTGCATGTAGTAAGCTGTGTGAAGTGCTGTTAGCATGTGTGAGTGGCTCAGAGTTTTTTCCTATGTGTTATCCCTGTGTGACCCTCGCCTGGGTCAAAGCCTGGGGAGTCGCTGTGCCCCAGAAGGCGGGGGGCCCCTTTCTGTCAGTGCCTGCCTCGCCGTCGGCTACACCTGGGTCTGTTATCTGAGGACGTGGTTCACTGGGTTTCGCTCACTCCACACACAGTTAACAAGGCTCCCTCTGGGCAGCTGCTGGGGTCACCAGCGAATAAGACCCAAATAGTAATTTTTCAATAGTTTTTTTCAGAGACAAGAGTTTTGCTCCTTTGGCCAGGCTGGAGTGTAGTGGCATGATCATGGCTTACTGCAGCCTCTGCCTTCTGGGCTGAAGTGATCTACCCACCTCAGCCTCCCAAGTACCTGGGACTCTAGGCACGAGCCATGCCTGACCATGCCAGCTCATTATTTATTGATTTATTTTTATTTTTTCTGTAGAGATGGTGTCTTGCTGTGTTACCCAGGCTAGTCTTGAGCTTCTGGGCTTAAGTGATTTTCCAGCCTTGGTCTCCTGAAATGCTGGGATTACAGGCGTGAGCCACCACGCCCAGTTTAAATAGTAATCTGTAAAGAACAGCTAGCGCCATCATGAGTGTCCCGTGTTGAGACTCTGTTCTCAGCACTGTGTATACTGACTCATGTGATCCTCATAATAAGGCTACAAAGCAGGGGCAGTTATTCGTACAGATGAGGAAAATGAGGCACAGAAAGGTTTGGTAACTTGCCCAAGGTCACACAGCTTGTTTGTAGCAGAATCAGGATAAGGCCTGTGCACTGAGGTAGCATTTGCAGCTTCCCTGCACACATCATCTCTGATGAGGGCCCTCTGCACACATCATCTCTGATCCTCAGACAGCCCTGCAGAGAGGTGGGAGGTGTTGTAAGCTCCATTCCTCCCCAAACTGGCGTCACCCAGCAAGCTGGGATTCAGACCAAGGGTGCCAGACTCCAGAACCCGTGGTCTTCTCTCTGCACCTCAGTGCCCGTCCCCCACCATGGCCTGGCTTCCTTTCCTTTCTCCAAGTCTCCTCCTCACTTTGTTACCATCTTTGCTCTGAGCAGCTGCTGACGACCCAGCGGGTGAGTTGCGCCCACATCTACAGTGCCCTAGACCCGACAGCCCGCAAGATCAACCTTGCCAAATTCACTCTTGGCAAGTGCTCCGCCCTCATTGTGACTGACCTGGCCGCCCGGGGCCTGGACATCCCGCTGCTGGACAATGTCATCAACTATAGCTTCCCTGCCAAGGGCAAGCTCTTCCTGCACCGTGTGGGTAAGCGGCCCGTGGCTGGCCCTGGGGCAGGCAGGGGTGCTGGTTCCTGGCAGAAGCCGAGGGTACAAGGCTTAACTCCTGACACTGCATATGGGGTGGCTGTGGGCTTGTTTTAGAGACAGAGCCTTGCTGTATTGCTCAAGCTGGTCTCAAACTCCCTATTGTGCCACTGCACTGCAGCCTGGGTAACGGAGCAAGATCTTGTCTCAAAAAACAAAAAAAAGACCCAATTATTCAGCTTATGGTTTTTTTGACTTTACAATAGCACCCATACAACCATTCTATTTTTTTCTTTCAGTACAGATTCAATAAGTTACATGAGATATTCAACACTTTATTTTAAAATCGGCTATGTGTGGGATGATTTTGCCTAAGGGTAGGCTAATGGAAGTGTTTGGAGCATGTTCAAGGCAGGCTGGCTGAGCTGTGACGTTTAGTGGGTTAGGTGCAGTGAGTGTGTTTTTGACGGCTGTTGGGTTTATTGAGATGCAGCCCTTTGTAAGTCACGGAGCAGCTGTGGTCTCATTTCAGAGATCGCTGTTCCCCATTGCTCTTTGATGACATGGCCGTCATTTTGGTGTGCATCCATTCTTCTGATGTTTCTATTTTAAGTTGTGGTAAAGTAGACATAGCATACAATTCAGCATTTTGCCATTTCCCAGTGTGCAGTGGAGTGGCATTGAGTGTGTTCACATTGTGCAACCATCACCACCATCTGTCCCCAAAACCTTTTTTTTTTTTGAGATAGAGTCTTGCTCTGTCCCCCAGGCTGGAGTGCAGTGGCATGATCTCAGCTCACTGCAACCTTCACCTCCTGGGTTCCAGCTATTCTCTTGCATCAGCCTCCCAAGTAGTTGGGATTTCAGGTGCTTGCCACCACGCCTGGCTAAGTTTTTGTGTTTTTAGTAGAGACGGGGATTTCACCATGTTGGCCAGGGTGGTCTTGAACTTCTAACCTCAAGTGATCCGCCTGCCTCAGCCTCCCAAAGTGCTGGGATTACAGGTGTGAGCCACCATGCTCAGCCCCAGAACTTTTTCATCTTGCAAAACTGAAGCTCTACCCATCAGACAAAATCTCCTTATTCCCCTCCCATAGCCCCTGGTAACTGTTACTCTACTTTCTTTGCCTTCTTTTAATTCATAAGTGTCATATGGTAGGCACACTTCCCTCTTGTTGCTGTCTGCTGTCCCCTAGTTTTCGTTGCTATGTGGAGGGCTGGTTCTGCATGTCCCTAGAGAGGTCCCCAGGACCCCCCAAAGGGAATTTCTTGTGCCTCACAAGACCAACAGTGCCAGTCGGACAACCTCAAATGAAATCTCCAAATGTCATAACACCTTGTTTTCCCAAGATAGAGACACAAGCCAGAATGTAATGCTGTGTAGGGATTTATGTATTTCATGCAAAATTGCAATCATATTGGGTGCTCTTTTTTATAACTTGCTTTTTGTTTTTTTCTTTTTACATCACCACACATAGCGAATGTTTTTTGTTTACTATGAAATGTCATTCTGTGATGGGTTGGCACATCTTTTCTATAAGGGGCTAGACATGAAACGTTAGGCTTTGTGGACCATACTGTCTCTGTCATAACCGTTCATCTCTGCTGGTGTAGTGTGAATGCTGCCTATTCATTTACATAGACAAATGAGTGTGGCTGTGTTCCAATAAATCTTTATTTACACAGACAAGCAAGGGGCCAGGATCTTACTCTGTTGCTTGGGCTCTAGTGCAGTGGCATGGTCATAGCTCACAGTAAGCTTGAACTCCCAGATCCAAGCAATCCTCCCAGCTTAGCCTCCCAAGTACTTAGGGCTGCAGGCACACACCACCACATTTGGCTAATTTTCATTTTTTGTAGACATGGGGTCTTACTATTTTGCCCAGGTTGTTCTTGAACTCCTGGCCTCAAGTGATTCTCCTGCCTTAGCCCCTCAAAGTGCTGTGATTACAGGCGGGTGCCACTAGCCTGGCCCTGTAGGCTGCAGTTTGCCCACTCTTTTTCTGAGCTGTTTAATTCCCCACTGTGTGGCCATCAGCTAATTCACTTAACCAGTCCTCTATCCTTGAGCCTTTAGTTCCAAACTTGGGGCTCTCCTAGTCAGGGCCATACTAAACCTCCTTGTGTGTGAATGTTTGCATCTTTGGGGGCAATTCTCAAAAGTGGGGGCACTGAAGAGTTGATCATGCTCATGAGCAGGCCTTTGCTGTATTTCTGCTAGTCTCCCAGGGCACCGTGTCAGCTTGGCCACACTCTCACAGATCAACCCAGAGACCATGATTGAACTTCCCTGTGCATAGGTGGGGAGAGCAGCTATGGGAGTTCGAGGCCTGGCCAGGCTCACCCGCTCAGGATCTGGTCTGTGGGACTCATGCTGGGTCCAGGTTCTTTTAGTTTGCTTAATTAAGCTTGAACGTCTCCTTGCTGCAGGCCGTGTGGCTCGGGCTGGCCGAAGTGGCACAGCCTACTCCTTGGTGGCCCCTGACGAAATTCCCTACTTGCTGGATCTGCACCTGTTCCTGGGCCGCTCCCTTGCCCTTGCCCGACCCCTCGAGGACCCCTCAGGTGAGTGGAGGCTGGGTGGGGTTAGGGGTCTCCATAGAGTTCATGGGCCCTGTTTTGGCTGTGGGAGGAGGTGGGGCTGGGTTTGACCCCAGGAGAAGATGATTCCTTATTTTATTTTATTTTATTTTATTTTTATTTCATATTTTTTGAGACGGAGTCTCGCTCTGTTGCCTAGGCTGGGGTGCAGTGGTGTGATCTTGGCTTACTGCAACCTCTGCTTCCCAGGTTCAAGCCATTCTCTTGCCTCAGCCTCCCAAGTAGCTGGGACTACAGATGCCTGGCTAATTTTTTATTGTATTTTTAGTAGAGACAGGGTTTTACCATGTTGGCCAGGCTGGTCTCGAACTCCTGACCTCAGGTGATTCACCCACCTCCCAAAGTGCTGGGATTACAGGTGTGAGTCACTGCGCCCGACTGATTCCTTTTATTTTTTAATGAGACGGGGTCTTACCCTTGCCCAGGCTGGAGTGCAGTGGTGCAGTCACGGCTCGCTGCAGCGTCCAACTCCTAGGCTCAAGCAAGCCACTGTGCCTGGCTAATCCCTCTATTTTAAACTCAGGATTTCCCACAACAATCCAGATTTCTGGTATCTACTAGGAAATGGTTGGATCTGGGTGCTGAGCTGTGGCGCCCCCATTAGACAGGCTCCCTGGTGCCCTGCAGCCCCTGCCTGCCTCCCTTTCCTGTTGGTATAGCCTGCCCAGCCCCTGCAGGCATCTAGTGTGTGACCCTATACTTGACTGAGTTTTCAGGGGAGCACAGGGGGCGGGGAGGGAGGCTGAGGCACCTTTAGACCAAGCCCAAAGGACTTTTTCCTTCCTTTCCTTCCTTTCCTTCCTTTCCTTCCTTCCTTTCTTTTCCTTTCTTTTCCTTTCTTTTCCTTTCTTTTCCTTTCTTTTCCTCTCTTCTCTTCTCTTCTCTTCTCTTCTCTTCTCTTCTCTTCTCTTCTTTTCTTTTCTTTCTTTTCTTTCTTCAGAGTTTCGCTCTCGTTGCCCAGGCTGGAATGCAATGGCGCAGTCTCGGCTCACCACAACATCCACGTCCTGGGTTCAAGCAATTCTCCTGCCTCAGCCTCCCGAGTAGCTGGGATTACAGGCACACACCACCACGCCCAGCTAATTTTGTGTTTTTAGTAGAGACAGGGTGTTGGCTAGGCTGGTCTCGAACTCCTGACCTCAGGTGATCTGCCCGCCTCGGCCTCCCAAAGTGCTGGGATTACAGGTGTGAGCCACTGTGCCCGGCCACCCACAGGACATTTCTGTATACACCCTAGAGTGGGAATGCATGGGACAGACAACAGGAATCACCATGGCCTCCATCTATGGGCCTCCAACTATGGGCTTCCACCCGCAGTCCTGCTGGTTCCCGGGCCCTGTACACATCTTGCCTCATTTGTCCATCTGTGCTGGAGGGAGGGCTGTCAGTCACCTCCGCTTCACAGATGAGAGAACGGCTCTGACAGGCCTACCCATGTGCACACTGCAGGAAGGTGGGGAGCTAAGATTCAGAGCTCCGGGCCCCCTTCTCCTTGGCTGTTCACTCTTGGCAGCCAGTGGTGATCTCTGTCCAGGCTGTGGCCCCCTCGGGTGACCGTGTGGCCCTGCAGTGTCCCAGCCCATGCCTGGAGGCAGCTGGAAAGCAGACACTGCAGTGGAGAGTCTGGGGTCAGATGCAAGGGCACAGGAAAGGGCTGTGGGGCCTGACCGGGGTCAGGGGCAGCCTGTGCAGTCACTGGAGGTGGAGGCCTCAGTTGGGCGCCACACAGGGGTGAATTGGAGGGGGCATTTCAAAGCATTTTCCTGGGGGCGAAGCCGAGAGTGCAAGGGCCAAGTGACGGAGGTGCGAGCACAGCCCCACCCAGCAGCCCCAGGGGCCCGGTGACAGGCAGGAGCAGAAGGAAATGGACCCTGCACCCAGGGCCTGCTCAGGGCTAGAGGCAGCACGCAGCTCTGTGCAGGCTTTACAGATCTCCGACCTTCTGGGTTGAGAGCTGTGCATGGGTGTGGGAGGGGCAGAGGGAGGGAAGGAGCCTCCCACAATGTTCAGGCAGAAACCACCCCCGGTGCAGTTAACTTTTAGGGAGAGACATCTTACTTTTGCTCCAGAGCTAGCCAGGGGTCAGCAGGGCCCAGCACGTGCTTAATCTGGAGAGATGGGAAGAGGGCAGGCTCCTGACCCAGTGCAGGGTTTGGTTTCCGACCCTGACCCTCACCATGTGCCCCTGGGCCAATCTCTAAACCTCCAGGAGCCTCAGTTTCCTCATCTCTAAAATGGACTCATCAGGGCCTTTCTTGCAAGATTGGCCAAATGTTGGTAATTGACGGTGGGTGATGGGCCCATGAGGTCCATCACACTCTTCCCTCGGCTTTTTGTGTTTTTCTTTCTTTTTTTTTTTTTTTTTTTTTTTTTTTTTTTGAGAGGGGCTCACTCTGTCACCCAGGCTGGAGTATAGTGGCATGATCACAGCTCACTGCACCCTTGACCTCCTAGGCTCAGGCAGTCCTCCTACCTCACCCTCTTGAGGAGCTGGGAATACAGGCAGGTCCACCATGCCTGGATGATTTTTTAGTTTTTGTGGAGATGGGGGTCTCACTATGTTGCCCAGCTGGGTCTTGAACTCCTGCACTCAAGTGATTCTCCATCTGTGCTGGAGGCTTCCAAAGTGCTGGGATTACAGGTGTGAGCCGCTGTGCCTGGCTTACGGTTGTAGATGTTCTGTAGTAGAAAGTCAGAACGTGACGACAAAAGAAAGCAGGTACTTTCGTCATATTTTTGGTGTGAGGTAAAGGAGATGATGATGATGAGCTCAGCACAGTGCTTGCACATAGGAAGCCTCTGTCCCCGGCATCCTCTGCTCTTACTGTTGCTGTTACTTGTTACCGTAAGTATCGCTGTTGCTAGTATGGACTCTTCCTAGATTGAATCCTGTCTCTGCAACTGACTCATTTGACAGTCCTGGTAGCAACTGAACCACACTAAGCCTCAGTTTTCTTATCTGTAGAACAGGGTTGCTGTGGAAATTGAATTTCTAATGCTGGAGTCAGCAAAGTTGCTGTTGGTTGTTTTTTGTTTTAGTTTTTTGTTTTTAAGAGAGACAAAGTCTTGTTCTGTCGCCCAGGCTGGAGTACAGTGGCGCTATCATGGCTTACTGCAGCCTTGGGCTCCCAGGCTCAAGTGATCCTCCTGCCTCACCCCATGAGTAATTGAGAGACTACAGGTGCACACCACCATGCCCGGCTAATTTTAAATTTTTTTTGTAGACATGGAGTGTCACTACATTGCTCAGGCTGGTCTCCAATTCCTGGCCTCTAGTGATCCTCCTGCCTCAGCCTCCGAGAACTCTGAGATTATAAGCATGAGCCACCGTGCCCGGCCAACAAAGTTTTGTTTTTAGAGCCAGATAGTACATATTCTAGACTCTGTGGGCCATGTGATCCAGGGTGGCTCTTCAACCTTGGCCTTGTAGTGCAAAAACAGCCAGAGACCATGCATCAGCGAGTAGTGCAGCTGTGCTCCCGTAGAGCCATTTACAGAAGCAGCAGGCAGCTGGCCGGCCGGCCGCGGTTTGTTGACCCCTGTCGGTGTATTCAAGTGTCTGACTCTCTAGCTCCTCCGTAAGTGCTGGTGTTCTTTGCAGTGATTATTTTGTAGCCATTTACCTGTGATTCTGGAGCCAGGGTGAGACCCAGGAATGGTGGTCGGACAGCAGACAGGCGGGCTGGACTGAAAGACCCCTGACAAGGTGCTGTGTGGGGTGCAGGTGCGGCCGGTGTGGATGGCATGCTGGGTCGGGTGCCACAGAGTGTGGTGGACGAGGAGGACAGTGGCCTGCAGAGCACCCTGGAGGCATCGCTGGAGCTACGGGGCCTGGCCCGCGTAGCCGACAACGCCCAGCAGCAGTATGTGCGCTCGCGCCCAGCGCCCTCACCCGAGTCCATCAAGAGGGCCAAGGAGCTGGACCTTGTGGGGCTGGGCCTGCACCCCCTCTTCAGTGAGTCCTTCTACAGGGTAGGGGTGGCAGGTGGGTCTTGCTGACCCCACCCACAGCCTGACACCTCACTGCTTTCCCACCAGGCTCGCGTTTTGAGGAGGAGGAGCTGCAGCGGCTGAGGCTGGTGGACAGCATCAAGAACTACCGCTCCCGGGCGGTGAGTGGGGCCGGGCGGAGACCACGCTCTGAGTCCTGGCTCAGTGGAAGCCAGAGACAGATGGCCCGTGGCCTGGGGTCACACAGTGACAACGGTGGTGCCATGACTCAGATTGCAGTCCTGACCCCCAGCAGGGATTTTCATCTGAGCTTATATCTTCTTAACCTGCAGCCTTGGCTCTGACAGCCTCTCTTGAGATGCCCCTTGTTCTGGAACCATCCCTGCTGGCCCACAGCAGGTGGCATGGGGTAGCCATTCCCTAGCACTTAACAGATGGTTCACGAGGGGAAGTGACATGCTCCCGGTCTGTTAGAGGCCTGAAGAGCTTGTTTTCCTGAGCTTCCTTCCCTCCTTCCCAACTGTTGACTCCCATTAGGCACCCCATCTTGTGCATATGGAAGGGGATGCACAAAAGGAAAAACCTACTCGGGAGTGAGTAAGCTTGCCAGCCAGCTGGGATCAGGAGAGGAGCTGTCATGGTTAAGAGCGCCAGTTTTGAAGTCAAATGGACTTGGGTTAACAAGCTATGGTTTTTCCTAGCATGTGACCATGGACTGGTTACTCACCCTCTCTGGGTTTTTGTTTTTGTTTGTTTTTGAAACAGGGTCTTGCTTTGTCACCCAGGCTGGAGTGCAGTGGTGCAATCATGGCTCACTGCATCCTTGACCTCCTGGGCTCAAGTGATCCTCCTATCTCAGCCTCCTGAGTAGCTGGGACTACAGGTGCATGCCACCACACATGGCTAATTTTTTTATTTTTTGTAGAGATGAGGTCATGTCATGTTGCCTAGACTGGTCTCAAACTCCTAGGCTCAGGTGATCCTCCTGCCTCAGCCTCCCAAAGTGCTGAGATTACAGGCGTGAGCCATGGTACCTGGCCTGGGTCTCTCTTTGTGTTTTTGTTTTATTTTTGAGATAGAGTCTCGCTCTGTTACCCAGGCTGGGGTGCAGTGGTACAATCTCGGCTCACTGCAACCTCTGCCCCCTGAATTCAAGTGATTCTCCTGCCTCAGCCTCGTCAGTAGCTGGGACTACAGGTGCCCACCACCACACCTGGCTAATATTTGTATCTTTAGCAGAGATGGGGTTTCACCGTGTTGGCCAGGCTGGTGTCGAACTCCTGACCTCAAGTGATCCTCCTGCTTCATCCTCCCAAAGTGCTGGGATTACAGGCATGAGCCACTGCGCCTGGCCTGGGTCTATCTAATTGTGAAGTGCAGATAATGAGAGTGCCCACCTTGGACACTGGGGAAGACTTGGGGAAGAATGCCAATAGGGAGCCCACCAAGTGGTAAGGGTGGGGTTAGGGGTAGGAGGCTGGTGGGCAAAGGACTGGGTGTCCCCTCCACAGACTATATTTGAGATCAACGCCTCCAGCCGAGACCTGTGCAGTCAGGTGATGCGCGCCAAGCGGCAGAAGGACCACAAGGCCATCACCCGCTTCCAGCAGGGACAGCAGGGGAGGCAGGAGCAACAGGAGGGCCCAGTGGGCCCAGCCCCGAGCTGCCCAGCACTGCAGGAGAAGCAGCCTGAGAAAGAGGAGGAGGAGGAGGAGGCGGGAGAGAGTGTGGAGGTACAGGTTCCACCCTGGGGACCCTGGACCTGGGGTACAGGGAAGGGGTGGCTAAGTCGCAGCAGCCCATGAAGCTGTTCTAGGGGCTTTGAGCAGTGGATGGAGGTGGATGCTGTCAGCTTCCCATCTGCAGAGTCAGGGTATGGTTCTTGTCCACTGTCCCTCGTTTAAAACTGGGGCCAGATCTTTAGCCTGAGAAGCTGTGTACAACATGACACCCTCAGTGGGGTCCAGGGCATCACCAGCCACCAAACACATCAGGGCTTCTGCAGTGAGACGTGCGGGTCTCACTCAGAGGGAGGACCATGAAGTGTCCCATTCACCTGGTAGGTGAGTCTTGGGCCTGCGTGTCCCCCAGGATGTCCCTCTCTCATGTTTTGTTTAGAGAGGGTTCAGTAGCCTAGAAGACCAGTTGGAGACCCCTGACCTAGTCCACGTTGTTCAGAGCAGGCCAGGCGCAGAGAGGGGCAGGGCCGGCTGTTACACAGCCTGGAGCGCGGAGCTGGAATGGGGAGTTGGGTCTCCCCCGGCCGGCACTCTCTGCCTTACCTAGCTGTCCTGCCTCTGCTGGTCCCTGAGGCAGGGGTTGCGCTGTGTGTGCAGATGAGGAAACTGAGGGTCCCACAGGAGACACTGTCACCCAGCTAAGAAATGGCAAAGTGAAGCTTTGAAAGTCCCTGGGAAGCCACTGGCCCCTGTGGCCAGGGTGGTGGGTAGGGAGGCTGTGGGGACTCCCCAGGGGGCTACAGGCATGACGCTGGGCCTCGGTCCGTGCTCTGCCAGGACATTTTCTCAGAGGTCATGGGCCGGAAGCGGCAGCGGTCAGGACCCAACAGGGGAGCCAAGAGGCGGAGGGAGGAGGCCTGGCAGCGGGACCAGGAATTCTACATCCCCTACCGGCCCAAGGACTTCGACAGCGAGCGGGGGTGAGTGGCTGGCTGGGTCCTGGGTGGGGCAGGCAGGTCTGCTGGATCCCATCAATCCAGTTATGTCTCCCACCTTCCCTCTGCAGCCTGAGCATCAGCGGGGAAGGGGGAGCCTTCGAGCAGCAGGTGGCTGGCGCTGTCCTGGACCTGATGGGGGATGAAGCCCAGAACCTGACGAGGGGCCGGCAGCAGCTCAAGTGGTGAGTGAGCAAGTGACCCACCCATCCATGCCCCAGGTGAGTGAGCGAGTGACCCACCCATCCATGCCCCAGGTGAGTGAGCGAGTGAGCCGCCCATCCATGCCCGGGGTGAGTGAGCAAGTGAGCCGCCCATCCATGCCCGGGGTGAGTGAGAAAGTGAGCTGCCCCTCCATCATCCATGCCTGGGGTGAGTGAGAAAGTGAGCTGCCCCTCCATCATCCATGCCTGGGGTGAGTGAGCGAGTGAGCTGCCCCTCATGCCAGCAGGCAGGGTGAACTCCCTGACGTCCTCACTCCCATCTGATCCTGTACAGCCTGCATTATGACCCGGCTGGGCTGTCCCCCATGTGACCACTCACAGCAGGTGTGATGGCCCCTGGCTGTTCTGTCGCCTTGATTTGATCACACACCACAGAGATCTTGACCCCGTCTATCCTTTTTGCTGGCAAGTCTTTCTAGACAGGGCTCAGGACCCATTTGTTCAGGAGGACTCTAGCGTCTAGAGAATGTATGTGACTCAACCAAGGGTCACAGCTGGGAAGGGGGAGGGGATTGGAAACCCTCCAGGAGGCCCTTGTCCCTGAGCCAGGCCCCAGTGCTGGCGGCAGTCCTCTGACCTTTATTGAGCGCCAACTGCATGCCAGACATGGCTGCACTGCTTTCTTTTAATGCCCCAACAACCTGACAAGAGGGTCGGGTGAGGAGACAGGCCCTGAGCAGGAACCGGCACTCCAAGCGTTTCCCTCCACGGCAGCCGTCCCAACTCCCTCTCCTGCAGGGACCGTAAGAAGAAGCGGTTTGTGGGAAAGTCAGGACAGGAAGACAAGAAGAAGATTAAGACAGAGAGTGGCCGCTACATCAACAGCTCGTACAAGCGAGACCTGTATCCTGAGGGGCGTGGCCGGGGAGGGGCGGGGCCGAGCAGCTAAAGCAGCAGCAGCTCCAATTAAGTGGGACCTGGGGGCGGGGCCGGGGATGAGGGGCCGGAGCTGAGCGGCTTCAGCAGCAGCATCTCCAATAAGTGGGACCTGTGCTGGGGGCGGGGCCCAGCAGCTTCAGCAGCAGCATCTCCAATAAGTGGGACCTGTGCTGGGGGCGGGGCCCAGCAGCTTCAGCAGCAGCATCTCCAATAAGTGGGACCTGTGCTGGGGGCGGGCCCAGCGGCTTCAGCAGCCGCATCTCCAGTAAGTGGGACCTGTGTGCTGGGGGCGGGCCCAGCAGCTTCAGCCGCGACTGGGATAACAGAACTGTGTCTGCTGGGGCGGTGTGGGGAGGAGCCTTCTCCGGTCCCAGGGGCTTCACGCAGCTTCCTTAACGAGGTTTCCCAGCTATCAGAAGTGGAAACAGAAACAGAAAATTGATGATCGTGACTCGGACGAAGAAGGAGCATCTGACCGGCGAGGCCCAGAGCGAAGAGGTGGGAAGCGAGGCCGTGGCCAAGGTGAGAGCCAGGGAGGGTGGGGAGTATGGGTGCACAGGTAGGTAGAGCAGTTATGGTCAGATTAGGGTAACACTGAGGCACGGGTGCAGGGGCTACTGCAGAGCCCCAGAGCTCGGTGTGTTGGGGTATGCTGCCAAAACCCTGGGTCCCTCCATGATCCCCCCACCCAACCCCCACACCCACAGGTTCCCCCTTCCTACTATCCTGGTCTCTGATGGTCACGAGCATCACCTGACAGGCGCTGGGAAGCACCGTGCCCCTCAGGTGCCTTGTCCCCGACCTCTGTCCACTTCACAGATGAAACCACAGGGATGACTTCTGGTAGATGCCCTGTTCACCTAATTAAGCCTATTGTCTAAAATCCTAGAGAACTCGGGAGGTGGAACCTTGTGGGAATGCTGCTATGTGGGCCATTTTCACCTGCAAAAATGGCATCTGCATGTGGTTCGACCTGACAGAGTGGGCATGAATTGAACCCCTGTGGCATCCTCAGGAGTGACGTTCTTTTTAGCAATGCTGTGGGGAAGTTCATGTCACCAAAGACGCAGTCAGAAGCAGCTTTGGTTCCAGGAGGAGGCGATCACGGGGGATGTTGAGGAAGATACTTCCTCGAAATGTGGGTTGGCAAGTAGTACATTTGGTCATTTGAGGACTTCGACCTCTTTGATCTGGCCTGGGTCCCTCAGCCAGTAAAAGGCTAAGGTGGATTTGAAGCCGGCTCTGTCTACCAGAGCCTGTGCTTAAGGGCTGCTGTCAGGGAGGGGCTCCCACTTGCTGGGTGCGGGCAGGCTCTGTCCTGGAAGGCCACACATGACCTGGGAGGCAAGGTGACTGCGAATACCCATTTTACAGGCTGGGAAACAGGCGCCTTATGAGGGCTGTGACTGAACCTGAGTCACCCAGCTGCCCAAGGCTCCCACCTGGGGCCCTCCCTGGGGAGAGGGGAGTTTGGGACCATGTCCTGGGTCTCTCTCAGATGACGTTACCCACTGCTGTGTCCCTCCACCTTCTGGGGCTGGTCACTGCCTTCTCTGGGTGTCTCTGTGAGCCTGCGTGCATTTGCCTGGGCCTGTTCTCTGTGGCTCCTCCCCCTCCAGCTCTCCCATCTGTGGGAGTGTCTCCTTGTCAGCGTGGCTGGGTGGGGACCACCCACACCTCACTTCTCAGCCTGTTTTTACCTGGGTGAAACAGCAGCTTCTGCTGTGAGCAGTGCCGTGCAGTGGGCGGGCAGGGGCTGGGGAGATGGGGGCGACCTATGGGCTTTGGGAGAAAGCAGCTGTTCTTCCTTTTTTGTCCTCATTGGAGGTGATAGGTCCTGCGAGGCACCCTGGCTCCACTGGAGACAGCTGGGAACACCCCAATGGTCATCCCTCTAGGAGCGCTGGGGAGGCTGCTGTTATGAATGGGGAGGAGGAGGAGGACACAGGACTTAGTGGGAGCCAGGGAGGGTGGTGCTTGCCTCCCGGAGAACTAGAAGAATGGACTACCTGATGCCCACCTGTCGGGCTAGGGCAGGGCCGCTGACCTCTGCTGCTGCTGCTTTGCTGTGTGACCTCAGACAAGTCCCTCTCCCTCTCTGGCCTTCTCTGATTCCTCTTCCACCTAAAGGAAGGTTCATCTACACCCTCTTTTCATCTAATAAGCCTAGAGCATGGTGTCCATGGAGACAGAGGCTGAGGTCTGTTTCGGTTACTATGGGGGGCCTCAGAGCGTGCAGTAGCAGTAGGTGTGCTGTGGAAACATACACTTCTTGGTTGGAGAATTTTTAATAGTAACAGTCATGCCTAAAAGGCTCTCACTATGGGCCAGGCCTTGTTCTGAGCACTTTATACCATGGAAATGCATTTTCTCTTCACCCATGAAGGAGGTGCTGTGATTTATAATTCACAGATGGGGAAACTGAGGCACAGAGCCGTTTACTGACTTGCCCAGGGTCCAAGAGGTCACAGCTGGGATTTGAACCCCAGCAGTTCTGGCCCCGTGTTATTGACCACTCCATGAGGCTGCCTAAAACTTTATTAGCCACCTACTGTGTACAGACACTGGGCCACAGCAATAAGCACAGAACAGGAGTAGGGACAGGGAAGGAGTCTGCGAGCTTCTGGGAGGAGGGGATCTTGGGGGTGATTCCAACAGCTGAGCTCCCTGAATCCCTGTCCCAGCAGGTGCATCCCGGCCCCACGCCCCAGGCACCCCTGCAGGCTGCGTCCGCCCGGAACTCAAGACCAAGCAGCAGATCCTGAAGCAGCGGCGCCGGGCCCAGAAGCTGCGCTTCCTGCAGCGTGGTGGCCTCAAGCAGCTCTCTGCCCGCAACCGCCGCCGCGTCCAGGAGCTGCAGCAGGGCGCCTTCGGCCGGGTCGCCCGCTCCAAGAAGGGCAAGATGCGGAAGAGGATGTGAGGACCGGGACCCAGCTCTGTGGCTCCTTGATTGGCCTTAGGGTGGGCATCGGCAGACGTTCCTGTGCACCACTGTGTGCCTGGCCCAGTGCTGGGCACTGGGGGCACTCCCTGCAGGAGCCATCGTCCGTGAAAAGGAGCACTGTATGGCCACGGAAGGGCAGCAGCTGCGTCAGCCTAAGACAGAGACATTTGAGCAGGGCCTTGAAGGGTGTGTAGGAGTTCGGCAGCAAAGCCAGGCAGGCCAAGACCTGAGTTGGCAACTCAGCTGCTGCTGCTTCCATGTGTTCTGGGTTCAGAGGTCATGGCTGCACCAGTCAGAGCCCTGAGTGCCTCAGGGTTTGGCGATGGAATTTTTAATATAATAAATCTTTGTTGAGCACTGCTGGTGGGCCAGGAGTGCAGTCTACTTGGGGAGTTGGAATGGAGAGACCCAGGTACTAAAATCCCAGCTAATGTGGCAGAGGAGTTGTGGGTCTCCCCAGGGTAGGTTCTGCTGCTGTGTCCATTTAGCGATGAGGAAATTGAGGCTCAGAGCACAAGCCAGGTGCCGGAGGTGGGAGTTGGTCCGCCTTCCTCGCACCGGGACATGGTTGCAGCTGGGAGTGGGCTGTGGGAGGGGAACAGGATGTGCAGCCCCGGGGCAAGGGCACAGCTGCTCCCCTCTGGCTATGAAGAGGTTAACTCGGCCCCTCCACACCTGGAGGTCAGAACCTGGCCTGCCCTCTATCTTCTCACCACCCACCCCCTGTTTGAGGTTCTGAGAAGGTCAAGGGTGGCCCCAGCAGCTGAATTCTCAGGCTGGGCCCCTCACCTGGCAGAGTCCATAGTGGAGGGGCCTCGGAGATCTCTCATCTAGCATGGACCCTGCTCTGAGACCTGACAAAGAGCTTTTTTCATGCCTCAGCCACCCTGGCAGGGAGGGCCTGGTCTGATCTCATTTTAGAGGCAGTTGCTCCACACATAGCCCCTTGACCTTCCCATCAGGGCATGCACTTATTGAGTGCTTGCTATGTGCCCCTCATGGCAGGCCCACAGCACTCTGAACAGGCACAGCCCTCCCATCTTCCCAATGAGGAAGCGGATTCAAGAAGAGCCACTCAGTCCACACCCCAATGGAAATGGGGGCCCTCCTATCTCAGGGTCTCTCGGAGATCCCCTCTCCCGCTACTCACCTGGGTCAGGGCTAGGAGGCAGGGGCCGCAGGCTCAGCCTGACCCAGGACAGCCAGCATGGCAGAGAGGTCCTGCATGAACAGCTTCACCTGGGGGGGAGCCCAACACGAAGTCACATCCCAGCCCCAGAGCCACTGTCCAGCCCCCATCCCTCAACATGCGGGGAGGCCAAAAGGCAGGGTGGGGACTGGAGACCCCCTCATTAAAAGAACAGCAATGATGGTGGTTCCCAGAGGTGGTGACTGAGATCCTAAACTGTTCTGCGTTTTAAAAGCCTCAGGCCAACCTTCCCAACTGCTGCGTGAGCAGACACCTTCACAGCTTCCTTGCTGCTGTCACCTGCACTATCCAATTAGTATTTTCATTTATATCAATCAGCTTTATTTTCTTGTACCTGGATCAGTCATATTCATTGGTTTGTGATCTACTCTTATCTCCATGGGTGGCCGTCCTTTATTGTGTTTTAATTAACTTCTTTATGAATGTGAACTTAATAAATGCCATGGATCCATTGTAAAAACTAGGACTTGAGGGTGAACTTACAACCATCTGTGGGCTCCCCTCATATTCGTCATTGTATCAACAACTGAGAAGGAAACTTTATCTCCACCAAAAATGGAGAAAAATAGTTACCCCTTGTCCTAACTAGGGGGCAACTGGAAAAATAATGAAAATGCAATGAATAAATGAAGCTGTTACTGAATTGTGGCAGCCGCAGGACAGTGGGAGTCCCAGGCCCGGAGGCCAGGGAGTGTTAGGGGAGGTGGGAAAAGGCATAGTGTCCCTCCATGGAGCCTTTCTCCTTGACAGGCAGAGTTGATTTTGAAAAGAGATGATCTGGTCCTAGTGCAGTGTTGTTTACAACTAATTAATTACAACCGGTTACAGATTTTGTTCCTTCTTAATTTCCACTACTCCACTTGGACTTAAAGAAAAGGGACTGACTTTTTCCTGTTTACACCAAGCCTGTGTTTCTGCTAGTCTCATGTGCCACACGGTAACCAGGTAACAGGCCAGGCTGGGAAGAACAGTGGCATTGATGCATCCAACCAACTAGGAGGGGCGAAGCGGATTCCCAGGATCCAGGTCTTGGTGTTCGGTTGGAATCCTGGCCATTGGGCAGAACAGGAATGGGAATGGGTTGGGGAAAAGGTGGGATGCCTCCCTTTACTTTGCCTCCACTTCTCAAAGGGGCCACGCTTTGGGTATACCCACTAGAAACAAGAAAGTGTTTGAAGTCTGAAATCTCCCTCCATTGTAAACCTATGTCATGCTGAGTGCGGTGGCTCACACCTGTAATCCTAGCACTTTGGGAGGCTGAGGTGGGAGGATAACTTGAGGTTGGGAGCTTGAGACCAGCCTGGCCAACATGGTGAAACCCCATCTCTACTAAAAATACAAAATTAGCCAGGTGTGGTGTGTGCCTGTAATCCCAACTATTTGAGAGGCTGAGGCAGGAGAATCACCAGGAGGCAGAGGTTGCAGTGAGCCGAGATCGTGTCACTGCACTCCAGCCTGGGGTGACACAGGGCTAGACTCTGTCTAAAAAAAAAAAAGCCTATGTCACATTCTACGCTACACAACTCAACCTAACCCCACCCTCACCTTCCCTGCAGAAGCTGAGGCCTCTCTGTGCAGGAAGCAGGGAGCCAGAGGGCCAGAGATTAATGAAGAGCAAGTCTAGACCTCATGATTTTTTACAGTTGTTGCCACATGTGTGGGCTGTTGGATCCTGTGAGAAAAGAGGGACTCAGCACAAACCCTGGCCTTCCTGGTAGAGGGAGGGCATTGAGACCAGCCACTTTTTTTTTTTTTTCTTTTTGAAATAGTCTAGCTTCATCGCAGAGAGGGACATGGCTTTCTTCTGGCCACTGTCAGAGCCAAGACACACTCAGGAATCCATCCTAGACCTGGTGCCTGCGTGGTGATCGAGCCACGGCTGGGGCAAGGGCTCTGACCTTAGAGGGCCATGCTTAACCCAGGGAAGGTGTTGCTAACTGTGGGGTTTTAGGTACCTGATTTTCCAAAGAGGGAGTGTTTGGGGGCTGGTGGTGCCATAAAGAGGGGCCCTCACCTGCTCTAGTTGTCCCTCCGTGTCCTCAATGTCCAGGGTGGGCGGCTGCCTCTGATGCTGACACACTAGCTGGAACAGGTTGAGCACGGCCATCCTGCTGCGTCCCAGGAGCAGAGTCTTCTCCGCTGCTGTGTTCTGAATCTGAATCCACTTGGATTCCTGGAGAACACCCACCCTGCTCCCAATTATGGCAACTGGCCCGAGGCGGGCTGCCCTCTCTTCGCAGCCACATTTTTTTTTTTTTCTTTTTGGGATGGAGTCTAGCTTTGTTGCCCAGGCTGGAGTGCAGTGGCCTGATCTCAGCTCACTGCAACCACTGCCTCCTGGGACCTAGCGATTCTCCTCCTTCAGCCTCCCGAGTAGCTGGGACTACAGGCGCCTGCCAGTGGACCTGGCTAATTTTTGTATTTTTAGTAGAGACAGGGTTTTACCATGTTGGCCAGGCTGGTCTCGAACTCATGACCTGAGGTGATGCGCCCCTCTCGGCCTCCCAAAATGTTGGGATTACAGGCATGAGCCACAGCGCCCGGCATTCTTCCCATCCACTTCTGCCAGTCAGGCAGTCAGGTGCTCTCGGGAGAGGGTTGCAGGAGCCTCGTGCCGGCGGATAGGGCGGGGCCTCATGCCCGAAAGGGCTCGGTGATGCCTGAGATGCCCTCCTTAGTGCAGCGAACCCTCTGGGGTACGCATTGCCCCATCTGTCCTCATCAGCCCTGGCGCTCCTCCCCGCCCGGCTGTGGAAGCCTGGGGTCCCGAGCGCCCCCGACGGAGGGCGGGCCGTACCCACTGCAGCGTACGCTCCCTGGCAGCCTCCAGGCGCTCCTGCAGCTGCGCCCGCCTCTGGCCCTGTGCGAGCACCTCGTCCGGCCAGGCGTCCCGCAGCTGCTGCAGTCGCGCTCGCGCCGCCTCCAGCTCCGCTAGCCGCTTGCGCTCCCTGAGCCTCAGCGCCGCCTGTGTCTGGGCCAGGCCGTCGAAGCGCGCCACCAGTTCCGGGACCTCTTGGAACTAGAGTTGGGGGCGGGGAAGGGACTCACATGGGCCTGCAGTCCCCTACCCTCCCCATCCCACCTGGCCGCCGGCGTTCCTTATTATTGGAATAATCTTTCTGGAAAGTGACTTAAATGTCAACCTCCGTTTGTTAGAGACAAGGTCTCGGTCTGCCAACCTGGGGTGGAGTGCAGTGGTGCGATCATAGCTCACTGTCATCTCGAACTCCTGGGCTCAAGCGATCCTCCCATCTCCGCTCCAGAGTAGCTGGGACTATAGTCACACGCCACCACGGCCGGCTAATTTTTTGTAGAGACAGGGGTCACTCTATGTTACCCAGACTGGTCTCGAACTTCTGGCTTCAAGCAATCCTCCCGCCTTGGCTTCCCAAAGTGTTGGGATTACAGGCATGAGCCACTTGCGCCCGGCCAGAGTTAGCTTTCTTAATCTTCAGTTTTCCTAGCTGTAAAATGGGGTTGACAGTTGACAATAAGAGGACTCACTTCACTGGACTTTGGGGAGGATTCAAAAATAAAACGTGGGCGGTGGCTCACACCTGTAATCCCAGCACTTTGGGAGCTGAGGTGGGAGGATCGCTTGAGCCCAGGAGTTCGAAACCAGCCTGGGCAACGTCGCAAGACCACTGTCTCTACTAAAAGTGATAATTAAAAAAATAGCCAGGCGTGGTGGCATGCGCCTGTGGTCCCAGCTACTTGGTAGGCAGAAGCAAAAGGATCCCTTGAGCCCAGGAAGTCGAGGCTGCAGTGAGCCATGATCGCGCCAATGCACTCCAGCCTGGTGACAAAGCGAGACACTGTCTCAAAAATACTCCAAAACTAACAACCACAAAAACTAAAGCGTATCCCTGGCATACAGTGAGCGCTCCATAAGCGATAGTTCTTGGCATGCACGCCAAGAACTCCAGTAGTTCAGCGCTACAGTAGTTCGCCGGTCCGAAGCCGTCCCTGAGCCACTCAGCGCCGCGCGATGGCGCCGAGCTCCCAGCCTTCTTCCCGGGACTCACCCCGGGCAGCAGCTCCAGCGCTTGCTCCAGCAGGCGCGCGCAGGGCTCCAGGCGCTTAAGCCGGCGCTGCAGCCGCGCGCGTTCCTGCCGTAGCTCCTCGAGCTGGGTCCGCAGACGCAGCGCCT